CCGTTATGCATTCAAAGTTGCATTAAGAGCAAACAAGCAGAGGAGTTTGGTTGCTGAGGGGATTTGCAGGGCAGAAGTTGGGTGGTGCAAGTTGCAACCTGTAGAGTTCTGGGCAAAGAGGTTCAAGTAGTGCAGGCAGCAGCCCTGGATGTTTTCTTGACCTGCTAAAATGCCACCAGTTACGTCAGTAGTATGTTCGTAGTGGTTTGATCCACAGCCTGGCTTTGGTGTGTGTCTACTCATAGGTGAAACACTGGGTTGTACTTAGCAAACTGCCAGGCCCTTCGCAGTGTCAGAATGGTTTTCAAGGGTATTTTGCAGTTTTTTTCAGTCATTCTACAGAGCTAGGTGTTTTTTGGTGTTGCTTTTTTTCTCCTGAACCATTGAGTTGTGGAACTGGTATTGGTGATTTTTCAGCACTGTGGTATCTGTGAAAGGTCTGATATTTTACTGTGATTTCAGTAGTTTCAGCCATGAAAGTTTGTGTTGTTTGGTCCAGCTCTTCCTGATGAAGGTTGAAATTCCAGTTGACCTCTGTCAGTTAAGTGAGTTCAGATTAATTTGCATTTGAACACAGATCAGAAAAATCAAGCCAACTTTCATTTTCACTGTTAGTGCGGAATGTCTTTCTCTTTGGATCTTGGCTGGCCTGGATCCTTCATTTCCCTTCTGATGTAGGTCATTGATTTTGTCTCTGTCAATAAAGACAATTTTCCCTTTCTAGCTGTAGCAGCAGCTCCAGTTGCGCAGTGGATAAAGCTATCCAGAGGGAAGTCAGGATTAGCCTTGCTCATAGGACTGGTCATCTCAGTATGGGACAGAGCAAGGCAGGCGCTGCTCCCCCGTTACCTTAGCATCCCTGGATGTTGGCCAGGCAGGCCAAGAAGCTGCTGTCAGTGAAGAAGTGTTCAGCTTTGGGCGATGCTGGCCACAACAACACACCAACGGTAACAAAGGTAGAGTTTGCCTTCATCTGAGATAGATATATTGAAAGATAGAGATATAAAACATCTGGATACAGAATTAAAACAGACCAAGGGCTAGAAAAATCTTTTTAAGCTTAGGACCTGTTTTGGTCCTAAAGAGGATGCAGGCTCTGTCCCATTTCCTGACAAGAAGAGCCTAAAAACGTGGTTTGATTTCAGCCAGTGTGACCTCTGCATGAAGAAAATCCCTTTTACTTCTTGTCTCTCTTTTCCAAGAGATGGCAATCACTTCACAGGCCGCTGCTGTACCAGCCACAGGCGGCAAATTCAGGCCAGCCGACGGTAGCCGGATTTGTACCGAGGCGTTTGGGCAGGGTTTGGTGCTGTGGCTCCTGCTCGGGTTGATGGAGGCAGGTCAGATGCTGACTGACCGCCTGGAGGGAGCTCAGCTGAATTTTGATCTGCTTTATGGAGGTGTGCAACAAATAATTAACCTTCAAACGATAGTTCTATCAGCTGCGCAGCTGGATCAGAGCAGGTCTGGGAGCATTATGGGCCAACTGCTGAGGATCAAATTTTGTGCTAAAAGCCCTAGGTCACACATTCAGAAAATGTCTGATGGGAAGTTGGTTTGAAAGGACCACGCTCCTTTTCTAGCAGGGAGAGGTTGTTAATGTTATTAGCTCAAGGAGTAGATTTCCCC